GTTGTTCGTCTTCACTATAAAGTCATATCACTCGAGCTATAATTTCAGACCCAGGAAAAGCCTTTAAGATTCAATCATTCGGGATCCCAGATATTTCAGACACTTGTATATTCCGCGGTACGTAGGACGGATGGACCCTGACCTGAGCTACGAAGAGCGGCGTACGTAGCAACTGAGCAACTGAGCAAAGACTGGGGAGAAGGCTCGACCCAGTGGACTGAGATTGAACGCGAGTGCGAAAAGCGAAGTCTTTTGAACTCAACTCAGCAGCGAAATTCCTGTCTCACCTGTGGCCCTTGGCAAAATCTCGGCCCCAGGCTTCACACAGTGAGGAAGTAACACGACCCAAATCATATCCTGGGCGAACTGATCTACAAGGCTTGGGGGGGCTTCGTTTCAGCCCTTCGGGTGGCTTTGGGAGTGGCTCCAGGATTCTAACTAGGCATAGGGGTCCGCGGTGTGTTCAAGACGCATTCTTGGCGAGGGTGAGGGCGGTTCCACCATGAATTAGAAATCGCTTGAAGGGCTGCTAGGGCGAACGGTTGTCGCCTGCCGGGGGGAACCAGTTTCAGTTGCTCCTCCTGAGGGATTTGGCGGCATGAGGCTTCAGGGGTACATATAGGGCTTGCGGGGTCTGGGGTCGAGTCTAGGGTAGGGTTCTGGTTTTCGGGCAGGCCGGAGGGCATCACTTGGGTCTTCCCTGCGGGTCAGATGTGGAAGCTCAATCACAGGCCATTTCACTCCGGCACGCATAACCACATCAAGGGAATAGCTCCGGAAAAGATTTGAAGATGTATGTGTGTGTATATATATATATGTATATACATATATATATATACACACACACATACATGCATACACACGCACCAGAACCGCGATGATTACATCCTACTTGATCGAAAGGATGACGACGACATTCCTCCCTTGGAAGTGGGAAGGGCCACGCAGTAGCCATGGCCTTAAAACCACTGTCACTACGTTGGCACTTTACAACCTTTGACAAACACTCGGAAAGAAGATCGTCTTGGGCGCAAGAAGGGAAAGCACAACATATTTCAAACGCCTACTTAGGTCAGGACTCATGACTGGTTCTTGGGGCCATGGGGCGCCAGTTCCAAGCTTGGGCAAGTGGGGAGTAGGCCTTAGGTTTAGGGTCCAAAGGGTCCTGGGGTTTAGGGCTTTGGGTTAGGGTCTATAGGGGAGGGGGTTTAGGGCTTGGGGTTAGGGTCTAAAGGGGCCTGGGGTTTAGGGCTTTGGGTTTTGGGTTTGGGTTGGAGACTAGGGCTTGGGGTTTTCATCTCGCCAAGGCGCTAGAATGAAGTAGGCCAGGGTGGTCCACCAGAACTCCGGGAAAGCCTGGCCGAGGACAATCGCACTTGGCTGTTACCCTTTAACCCAAATAGTGTCTACTTCGGCTTGCATGTAGTCTACTTAAGGGCCAAAGTATATACTAGCTGGGTAGGCACATGGCCCCTTGGCAACAAGTCAGCCCTCAAACATAAAAAACAATAGACAACCATACGAGGACTGGGGTCCACGGTGTAGGAGTCCTAAGCCCGAAGCCTTAAACAACACCCTAAAGCCCACGTTTGGGACCATCGGGCCCTGTCAGCATCAATTTGTCAATCGCTTCGCACCTTTGTTGCAACTGCAGACCTACATCCCTGCTGTCAACTATTTTGAGAACTATTTGCTTGTGTCGCTCAGCACTTGCAATTGTAGTTGCAACCTGCCCCATACACCCGGTGGTTTACGGTTGCCGATCATGCGCTGGCCCTTGGCGCTCGAACCGGGTTGAAGCTCACTATGCTGGTCCTGGAGGACTCGGGCCGCTCATCCCCAATAGACAGAACAGCGCACGTCGTTCCTGTACAGACTACAAGAAGCCACCCGGAAGGAACAACTCCATGATTCCACAATAAACCTCAACCTCACCCTTGCCACCCCAATGCCTCACCATGCCACATCTCGACCACAGATGTATGCCTGAGAGAGCTGAACGGAAGCTGCAATGCTGATGGATTGAGATCAGGTACGTTACCACTGCTATGCCATGAAGCATCGTCTGAATTATTATGATATTGTCTAAAAATCATCGTTTTAGCGAAGGGATGTAAAGGCATGGCTACTACTTTCATCACGCCCAAGATCCCTGTCATGACTATGGTCACCGCCATTAACATCATCATAGCCACCATAGCCACGTTTATCATCAACAGCGCTATAGTCCTCAACGTGAACATGCCTGCATAAGCTTCAGCACCACGGCGTTCGCTTGAAAAGCCCAAGTCTGTCAGGTAAGAACTCCCAAACGTTCCACCCAAAGATCCTGAAATCAAGCTGGAAAACGCGCCACCGGACCAACCCCCTCCACCTCAAGCTGTAACACCGGAAATGAACTAAGTCTGCGTCGCTTCGATTGGACCTGCGCTGATAATACTTGGGAATCCAACCGGCTACGAATTACGCCCGAAAGCCGTGCTGCTTGTCCTCCCTTCACTAAAACCTTCTGCCGGAGAGCCTCAGTACCGAACTCAAGTATTGCGGCAGCGAGCATGGGCTTTTCGGCGTGTTCGATGCAGTGCGATTTGCAGAAGACTGAGGCAGAGACATTAGCTTTTGCTGGGTCAAGCCAACAGAGAAAGTCAAGCCTGGCACGGAGTCAGGATCTACGGATGTTCAGGGTTCAAGACGTTAAAGCCCGAAGCCCTAAACTCTGCAGCCTGAGGCATAACGCTTTCAAACAGCTGGGAGCCAAAACCTGGACACCGTCAACTCAGAACTCCCGATCAACAAGCCCTAAAGCCCTCACACTGTGGTCCAAAAGTCTGGAGAAAGTACATTACATCTTAAGGTCCCGTCAGAAAGGAAGGATTGCACGTCCAGCCTTGGGAGCCACAGCATTTCTTAGTAGACGAATATACCAAGGCCCAGCAAATCCCTTTTCTGATTTACGCTCTTTCTCTGTACCCTGGTTGCTAATTTGAGCCTGGGCGTCTTCCGAAAAAAGGCCATGGTGCTGGGATCCCTGGTGGGGTTCCTTCATCATGGTCCGAGAATGGCGGGGAACCCCAACAAACAACAATCCGATAACAGCTACACGGAAGAGCCTGCATGGCCGCGTGACATGCCTGTACATGTGGTCTCCCTTAAAACATACGGCATGGGGCCTTTTGGGTTTAGGGTCTGGGGTTATGGGCTTGGTATATGTATGAGGTCTCACTTTTTGAAGCCACCCTGAAGTAAACTAGTCCTCTGACTGAGGGCCCGGCAACACCAATTGCGAAGGTTTAGCACAATGACCTGCACATCACACAGCCCGAAACCCCAAACACTTTCACATGGGCAGTTGTCCAAATCATGCTTCCTCTATCAGTCCCTCCGAACAGCATTATTCAGAGGACTCCCCATGTGGGCTCATCGGGTTTAGGGGAGCTCCATATGAGCTTCATCATTAGAATGGGGTTCTTGACAAAAGGGTTCTTCGATGGAGTTTGGGAGGGCTTCGACAGGGTTTGAGCATAAGGAGCTCAAACATCAGCGCGGAGTTCCCGAAATATCTTCTAGTATGGCAGCCAACTGCTCGAAATGATACCAAACATATTGACGGCAAATATACAGAAAAGGCGAACCACAAAGCAAGGCATGGCCTCAGAAACTATGGGCAATTGGAGCCAGAAGTAATACCCCAAAAGCTCTAAAGCTTCAAACCTTTGAGGATTGTAACGTAAGGCTGAAACCTTCATCCAGGATGACCCAGGCTTCTGCTGTTTGGGGAACCCTCAACCCTAAACCTTAAACCCTAAACCTTCAACCACCAAACCTGAAACTCCTAAAACTCAAACCCTACACCTTCACCACTAAACCCTAAACCTCAAACGCTAAACCCTAAACCCTAAACCCTCAACCGGCGGTTCGGAAAACTCTGGTTTCTCGGATCTTGGGTTCTATAAGGCATTTGCAGGAGCTCCTGGCGAAGGCTTTGCCCATCTAAATCCCTACCTACTGTAGTTACCTGTCACTCTATGTATCTATCTATGCATCGAGACCTCGTGGAGCTTTTTCCCAGGTTGGCCGACTGTCAGCTTCGAACCTGACAAGTCCGGCAGGGCTCCGACGAAGTAGGCGTCTCGGCTGCGCGGCGGCACAAGGAAGATAAACCTTTTTTTCTCTGGAGGATCCTCGACAAACTTCCAGTCCGAGGCCGCCACCTAAGAAGAATGAATGCTGCAGGCCAGTATGACCGGCACATGTGGCTCGCTGGAGTTCGTCACGTCCTGCTCCACGCCAAGAGCTGTTGTGTGGGCGCCACATGCAAGTAAACTTGCGGTACCCAGCAGGCATGCCTGGGTACTTCTCCCACGAGTTCCGTGGGTAGCGGCGGTAGGACACCCTCACGGCTCCTGAGCTCCCCCGCTTGTTTCTGGAGCCACTGTTTGAACTGCGTGCCGTGCCTCGCCCCACCCTTGAGGCTCTTGTGTCCGTCCACCATTCTACCTGTCGATCTATTTAACTATCTATCCACCCAGCTAGCTAGTTATTTGTCTATCTCTGTGTCTATCTTTCTATTGATCTGCCTGTCCCGCTATCTATGTAACCACAAACACTGAGCCCCTGAACCTTAAACAGCACGACTGAGGCTCCGTTGCAAAAACGAATATGATAGAAGATGTTCAACTGGTGGTCACACTACCATCTAGGGATGATAACCTGCCCGGCAGCCAATGAACAGAAAATCCTCAACCCTAAGCAACGCCAACATAACTCAAACAACAAGGATTCCAGGTTCCCCAGTAGCGCCTTAATAATAATAAGGGTGCCCTTTTTCCTACTATTTGGCTTTACTAAGCGAGCCCAAAAAGAAAAAAGGACAAAAGGCTACCTGTAGATCCCTTATCGAACCCTTTAAGGAGCCCTGCAAGGAACCCCCGGAAAGAAAACACATGCGAAAAGGCATCTTTCTTGAAAACCTGGAAGAGGGGATTTCCTGAGCTCCCGACTGGCAGCAAGGCCACCAGATTAAACCTCAAATAGAACTCTCTTCTTGGGGCTTGGGGTTTAGGGTTTAGGGTGCTCGGGGTACATCTGGGATAGCACCTTACAGCTTGGTTTGGGGGGGTTGGGGGCGTTCGGGGCTGTTTGGGCAGCGGCAAAGTCCAGACCCTTCCAAGTTACAAGCTATATCTTCGACCAGACACCCAATGCCAATCTTACACAAAATAATGACATGCCCAAAGATCCAACACTTTCCCTAAACCCTAAACTCTAAACCCCGACACCCTAAACCAGTCAACACGAAGGGGCAGACTTCAAAAGGCCTCCTTGCCGATACCCTGAGTCCGGGATGACCACGGCAGCAGTGTAGTGCAACTATTCCCGACCCATGCCCGACACACCACCTGACTACCCAACCTTCGCTAATTCCGCCTCACAATGGAGGGCCTTAGGAGTTTCAAGAGGCTAAGAACCAGAGCTATACAGGGAGAGTGCTTGCTGTTCATCCTTCGAACTCCTATATCAGCAATCCAGCGAATGATCCTTATCCCGAAGTAAACTCTTCCAGATTATGGTGTAATTAAACCTGGGTTCTTGTTAAAGGATACGGAAGCCGCATTATCTACAAAAGATCCCTGTTGGTTCTTGTAACTGACATACTAGGTTGGCCCGTTCAGCCTGCAGAAAAGATTCGTAATGAGACCTTCTTAGGCGCAACAAGGGAAAGATCACCCTAAACCCAGCACTACCAAGGCCACCGGGCTCATGGGCCAAGCCCCTCAACCCTACCCCTAAACCCAAAGCCCCTCAACCCTACACCCTAATCCTAGAGCTTCGAGCTCAGGGTTCAGAGTTCAGGATCGAGCGCCTGGGGGCTCGGGCGGGTCGCCAACCAAGGAACGGCCCAAGGTCTCCATCGAAGGCCAAAACACAAAATCCTCCATCCTGCATCCCAATAGGAACCTCGACTACCAGACTAGGGTTTTTAGTTTTTTGTGTTTTTTTGTTGGGGGGGGGGGGGGTGTATTTATTATATCTGATTTGTATGACTGCAAAAGGGCAGCCCTGAGGAATGGTTTTGGCAACTGTGCTGGCTTCTAAATGAGCTTCCGTTTGGAGCTCAAAGGGCAGGGCGCGAAACCCGGGATGCTCCCAACCAACTCGAAACCGCCGAGTGCCACTGCCACCAGCAGCAACATGCTATCTTCTGGAACCTCAACAGCCCTCATGCCCTAATAACAGTTGAGATAATTAAGCATTCATTACCAAACCCCCAGATGTCCGCATTGCAACAGAAAAGGTCCTAACCCTCAAGAGGCTCAAAGAGCTCCGAACAAGTGCCCGGCCAGTCGTGCATATCTCGCGCCAGGTTGGAATCTTGTGCAAGGGGGCCCAGCATTCGGAAAGCCTGCTCAGGCCAAAAAAAATTAAAGCGTCCAAGCAAGACGTCGTGGCAGGGTTTAGGGTTTTGGG